CCATTTTACAGTCAAGAAGACTGAGAGAGACAGGGCTTAAGTGCAGGGTATTACAGCTAGTGGTTGAGACCAGATTGGAAGCCTGGTGCTCTTTCCACTGAGCCACCTTGTTGTTGAGTCTTTTTTTAAGTTGTGTCTGTCTGTGACCCCATTTGGGTTTTCTTTGCAAAGATACTGAAGTAGTTTGCCATTTCCTTCTCCGGCTCTTTTCACAAATGAGGAACTGAGGCCAACAGGGCTAAATGACTTATCCAGGGTCATAAAGCTAGTGTCTGAGGAATAACCTGCCCAGGGTCACACAGCTGGTAGGTGTCTGAGGCCAAATGTGAACTCAGGTCCTCCTGACTCCAGGGCCGGCACTCCATCTGCTGTTCCACCTAGCTATCCCAAAACATGAGACAAAACAAAAGGCTGTGATCATTGTTTAAGAATCAAAATTTTTAATTGTCTACACATGGCAGCTAAAAGCATGGAGATAGATTATCTTTCTGAATAAGTGAATTGTTCAGTTGTTTCAGTCATGCCTAATTCTCTGTGACCCCATTTGGTGTTTTCTTGGCAAAGTTACTAGAGCGGTTTGCCATTTTTTTTTCTCTGGCTCATTTTACAGATGAGGAACTGAGACAAACAAGGATAAGTAAGCTGTCCAGGGTCACACAGCTAGTAGGTGCCTGAGGCCAGTTTGAACTCACGAACGTGACTCTTTATTCCAAGCCCAATGCTCTTTCTACTGCACCACCTTGATGCCCTTGTTGCCTTCAAAGTATAATTTGATTCTGCAGATTGTTGCCAGAGAAAAAAGCCCATACGTGAAACCCCAAGTCTTTTCGAAGTTAAATTCCACAATTTCAACACTGGGCAACAAATTTTGTAAACAACTGGGAAAAAAGTTTTCAGTTATGAATAAACAGTAATTTGATTAACTCAGACTTACGCTGAAGTCACAAAGCTGAACCTAATCATCAATTATAAAAAATAGACCTTAAGCAAAGGCGGCACTTAAGATTTTCCTGCAAAACACAAAACACTAGAGGTGAGCAAAATATTCAATTTGCAAATAACCCAAACAAAAGAAACATAAAAGTATCTCTTTATTTATCTAGAAAAGACCAAGCAATGATTTCAATCTCTAACATGTATATTATAGGCTATTTTTAAAACAAAAGAATAAAAATCATCAATGGACAAACAGAATGGAAGTAGCTAATGATCTGAAGACATCAGAAGAGAAAGGAAGAGGAACTGAATTAATACTCTGGACTAAAGGCTAAGCTTCTTTAAAAATGCTTATCTATGATGGGAGGGGAGAAACATGGGAAATTGCTCAGGGAGAAGGAAGGCTGGAGGCAGGGGAGTTTAGCAGTCCTATCTAAGCGAGAGAGGAGCAGAAGAGAATAATTTCTTCAGTCTTTCAGCAAGAATAGGTGAGAGGGTAGGTGCTAGGGGAAAGAACAATAAAAGCACTGATAGGGAGGGACTAGGATGGAGATGTTAGAAGATGGGTTTTGCCCTTAAAGGGAAATAAAGGTTTCCAGTGGAAAATGTTCCTACAGAGTGGGGCTGTATTTGGTGAAAAAGAGGGCCCTTATAATAGGTTTATTTGGGGGGGGGGGCAAATAACAAGGGGTGTCCATCAGTTGGGGAATGGCTAAATTAATTATGGTATGTGAATGTAATGGAATATCATTCCACTAAAAAGAAGCAATGAGCAATATGATTTCAGAGAAACCTAGGAAGACTTGTATGAACTAATGTTGGCTGAGCTGAGTAAAACCAGAAGAAGACTATCCAGTGACTATAACATTGTAAAGAGAAACAACTTGGAAATGCCTAAGAACTTTGATCAATGTAATGACCAACCATGACTCCAGAAAAATGATAACGCTTGCTTCTCATCTCTCAACAGAGAGGTAATGTACCAGTAATGCAGCATAAGATATACATCTTCAGACAGAGCCAATAATATGTGTATTTATTTTGCTTGGAATGCTCATTTATTACTTGGGAGGACTTTTTTTTTTTTTACTGGAGGCAGAGGGGAATTAAGGGGATGGGAGGGCTAGTGAGAGTGACACAAAAGAAACAAAAGAAAAGAATGTCAACTAAATATTTTTTTTAATGAACCCAAGTTTCAGAGGCAAACACAAATAAGCAAGATACCTATGGAATTAACGTGTTGGATTCAGTATGTACTGAAAATTTTAATTATTATATATTATATTATTGTAATATAATACAATAAAATATAACATAATTATATTAAAAGATAAATTTAAAAATATTTTGTTTTCAATTCATAGGACAAAACAAACATTTCCATAATACAGTACAATAAAAAAGATGATTGCATATGAAGCTACAAATCTACCATGTACAATTTGCTGTTCCCTCCAAATATACCATAGTTACATGTAAATTTCTTTTTTCTTCCCTCTCCCTCCACCCCCCTGATGGTTACCTTTAGACACAAATAGGTGTGTGTGTGTGTGTGTATATATATATATATATATGCAAAATCATTCTAAACATACTTCTATTTACTGCTTCTTTCTCTGGATGCAGATAGTGTCTTTCTTCATATGTTCTTTATTTTTAATTTGTGTATAGTCAAAATTTAGAAAAACGTACGAGCTGTATGTAACCAAAGTTTCATATATAGCCCTCTCTTAGGAAGATCCTAGGGCAGTGTGTGTTAGTGTGTGGCACACTAACATCCCTAAGGATGTGTGTTGTCTAACAATTTATCAATGACTTGGATAAAGGCATAGATGGCAGGTTTACCAAATTTACACATAACATAAAGCTAACAGGGAGAAGGATAACAAACACACTGGATATGATAAAGTGAAATTGAATGTGGATAAATATTAAGTATTACCTTTGGATTAAAAAAATACATAGTTTCACAAGTATAGGATGAGGAGTCATGCTGTTTGTAAATACCGTGAGCGCCTGCGTCTGGGGCTGTGGTTTAATGCCGACTGAGTGAGAAGAGAGAAAGACACACGGGCCAGGTGGGAGAGAAGTAAAGAACAAGCTCTGTTTATTAAAATCTGAGGGTTAGGGTTTTTATATGTTTGACTCATGGGAATATCTCCCAAAGTAACAGTGAGTAAAGCAACAGTGTTTACATATCTTTAATAACAAGCAACACCAAGAATTTTTCTCATTCAAATACTGACCAAAGTAACAATAAGCACATTTCTCATTGCAACATTATGCCAGCCATTTCCTTATCTCATGGGAACGTTAACCAGGGAGTTATCCTGTCCGTTTTCTCACTTCCTTGCAATCTCCAGGGGCATCCTGTTCTCAAAAGACAGAACAGGAGGGTGGGGAGCCAACATTTCTGAATTATGCAGCCATCGGATATAGGACATGCTGTAGGTAAAACCTGGCTTGGCCTGAATCCTCTGACTCTTCAGAGCTAGCCCTCTACATGTAGAAAGTTCACTACTTCTAGTCACCTCATCATATCATCTTTCTGCCATGGCACTCCTGCCTTTTAAAGCCCTTCATGACCTGGTCCCTTCCTACCTTTCCAGTATTCTTTTACCTTACTCTGTGATTCAGTGACACAGGTCTTGCTGTTCTTTTCATAAGACACTTCATCTCCTGACTCTAGGAACTTTTTCTGGCTGTCCGCCATGCCTACAATTCCCCGCCTCTTCATTTCCATTTCCTGGATTCCTTCAGATCCCAGCTAAAATCCCACTTTCTACAAGAAGCTTTTTCCTGATCCTCCTTAATGCTAGTGCCTTCAGTTGTACCCCCCCCCTTAGGAAAGAGCCTAGAACATAGTAAGCACTAAATACATGCTTATTGACTTGACTCCTTCTGTGCACCCAACCAATGAGATCCATAGCTCATGTGGGGACATGCTGATGTGTAAGAGTTCACTATATCTAGCTAGTCAATCCCAGTCACTTCTCTATCCTCCTGCCATACCTTCTGTGCATTGGTTCCCCTAACTCCTCATACTTCCACTTCTTGCTCTAGGTACAGTAATAAAATCAATACTCCCATTACTACTCAAAATCATACATCTTTCCATTGCCTTGTGGCTCCACTCACTATCCCTGTGACTTCACTATTTCCTAGTCATAACTTTCCTATATATATTGTTTGAGGGAATGCAAGTTCCTTGAGAGCCAGATCAGTCTCTCTTTTGTATTTGTATTCCCCAATGCATGGGAATTTTTCCCCCTATGTATTTGCTCATCCATCAAGCATGGTTGCATGGTAGTTTGTCTGAAAGAGATCTGGATGTTTCACTGGACTACAAGTTCAACATAAGTCTTTAGTGTTATTTGGGAGTCATGTTGTGATCTTGGGCATCAAGAAAAGCATAGCTTCAAGGTGTAAGGTGGAGATAACCACCATACAATGCCCTGGTCATACTTCATCTGGAATATTGTATTCACTTCTCTGAGACCACTTAGGAAGGACATTGAAAAGCTACAGAGTATTCAGAAGATGGCAAGTTTGATGGTGAATCCATGTATTATGAGTTCCAGTTGAAGGAAGTGGGAATGTTCAGATCACAGAAGATAAAAGTTAGAGGGGACATGATAGCTGCCTTCGGGGATTTGAAGGGCTTTCATGTAGAAGAGATATGAGACTTGTTCTTTGGCCCCAGAGGACAGAACAGTGAATTGAAGTTACAAAGAGGTTTAATGTCAGGAAAACTTCCTGACAAATAGAACTATTCATAAGTGGAATGGACTTCCTCAAGTGTTAACTGTTCATTTTTTTCTCACAGTCTTTCAGTCCCCAAACAGTCTCTCTCTTTGCATATTATTTCAGATAAGATTTGCCCCCCCCCAGCCCCCAAATTCATGCTGTCTGATCTGAAAGACTGATCCTCCCTTTCTTGGCCAACCTTCTAACAAAAACCATCTATACCTGATGCCTCTACTTCCTCACCACTTACTTCTCAATCCTTTGCAATTTGGATTTTGAACTTATCACTCTGTTGAAATTGCTCTCTCCAAACTTACCGACAATCTTCCCTTGCTGGCACAAGTCATGACCCCCAGACACTACCCTAGCACTGCTCTCCTCAGGCCCCTTGGCCAGCTTGCCCCAAAAGCTTTGAAAGAGATTCACTGGTAGAAGATAGCGCTGTGCTGTGGAGGTTGGGCCTGGCTTCTCTTGGGGTCTCTGGTCATGTCTAAATCTAGAAAGAGAAAAAAGGAGGGTGAGCAATCAGAACCATGAGAAAGCAAGATCCCTCCATCTCTAGGTAGAACTTGGTTGTTTCAGACAGGTACATGTCTTCTTGTGGCTGTTCAGTCATTTTTCAGTCATGTCCAACTCTTTGTGACCCCATTTGGGGTTTTCTTGGCAAAGACACTAGAGAGTCTTGCCATTTCCTTCTCCAGCTTGTTTGACAGATGAGGAAACTGAGGCAAACTGGGTTAAGTGACTTGCTCAGGGTCACACAGCTAATAAAGTCTGAGGTCACATTTGAATTCGTCTTCTGACTTCAGGCCCAGTGTTCCACAAAGATCAGCTCCAAATCAACCAATCAATGAACAAAATTTTTAAAGTACCTACCATGTGCTGGGCATTATACTAAACACTAGGGATACAAAAAGAGATAAAAGACAGTTCTTTCCTTCAAGGAACTTACTATCTAATGGTAATATTTGTTGTTGGTGTTGGTCATTTCCATTACATCTCATTGTGACCTCATTTTTGGGTTTTTTTGGCAAAAATACTGGAGTGTTTGGAATTTCCTTCTCTATCTCATTCCACAGATGAGGAACTGAGGCAAATAGGGTTAAGTGATTTGTCCAGGGTTACACAGATAGTAAGTGTCTGAAGCTGAATTTGAATTCATGAAAGTGAGTCGTCCTGATTCCAAGGCCAGTGTTCTATCTATGCCACTTAGCTGCCCCATGGGGGAGAGAATGTGCAAACAAATATACATAAACAAGCTATAGACAGGATAAATAGAAAATAACATAGGGAAGGCACTAGAATTAAGAAGGATTGGGAAAGTCTCCCTGTACGAGATTAGATTTTAGTCGGACTTAAAAGAAGCCAGGGAGGTCAGAAGGCAAAGTTGAAGAGGGAGAGTATTGTAAGTATGGGAGATAGAGAAAATGCCTGGAGCCAAGGAATATAGTGACCAGTGTCACTGATTTAAAAAAATATATAGTGGGGTGTGATGTAAGAGAGATCTGGAAATGAAGAAGGGGGCTAAGTTATTAAAGGCTTTGAATGCCAAAATAGAGGGTTTTATAAGGTGATAGATAGCAGAGCTTATCGAATGGGGGGGTGAGGGGTGTGTGTGACATGGTTGGATCTGAGGTTTAGGAAAATAACTTTGGTGGTTGCTGGAGGATGGATTGGTATGGGGAGGGATTTAAGGCAAGTTGATAATGGAGATAATAGGATAAGTGTTCTAAATAAAAGGTCACATTATAAAGGGGGAAAGAATAAGCATTTATATACTCTGCCTACTATATGCCAGGCACTGAGCTAAGCACTTTATGATTATTTTATTTAATTCTCATCAATAGAAACCCTGGGAGGTAGATGCTGTTACTATTCCCATTTTGCAGTTGAGGCAGAAGTTGCAAGGCTGGTAAGTATCTGAGGGAGGATTTGAACTCAAGGTTTTTCTCACTAGAGGCCCACTGCTCTATCCACTTTGCCACCTACCAGCCTCCATAAAAAAATCAAAAACAAATTAGAAAAACATGAAAGAGATTACCTTTCAGATCTATAAATAGGGGAAGAATTCAGAACAAAACAAGGAATACAAAAAATCATAGAATATAAAATAAATAATTTTGATTACATAAAAGTAAAAGGTTTCAAACAAATCCAACATAGCTAAGGGTAGCATATATATATATATATTATATATATATATATATATATATATATATATATATATATAAAAATTATGTAGCTTTAGACATCTTGTAGATTTGGATAGGAGAGACAGACAGACAGATACATACAGAGAGAGAGAGAGAAGAGAGAGAGAGAGAGAATATGAGCAATTTTCAAAGGCTGAAAACCAAGTTTTCAACAAACATATGAAAATATGTTCCATATAACTAATAATTAGAGAAATTCACATTAAGACAACTCTGAACTTCTACCTCATACCCATTAGATTGGCAAAACTAACAAAAAAGAAAAATAATAAATGTTAGAGAGCTAAGTGTGTTTACTGGCTAACTATTAAGGATCAGCTGACCAGTTGGGGCTTGTGAAGTTCACAAGGTCATACCTGTCTCCAATAATCTCCCTAAAAGCTGGAAGAATAGACACAACAGAGACTGAAACAATAGCAGGGCCATGCCTTCACAGACAATATGGTAGAAGCCTCCATGGGGAGAAATAAAGGCCAAAGGCCTTTCTCTTCACTTGGAAGGTTATAGGATTTCCTGCCTCACCCTATCACAGCTAGGCAGGAATGAGCTAGACCAAGAGACTTACTTTGGCTGGGTAGTACTTTTTAAATGCACCCAAGTACTGGATTTATAGGCAGCACTGCTAACTAGATGGTTAGCAGACTAGAGCCAATTTCACTGCACGTGCTCCAAATAGAGGAGGAAGTTCCTTTTATTACATGGCATCATGCCTTTCTAGAAGTGGGTTCCCCATCCTCTTCCGTGTGATGATCACTTTGGCTGAGTGCATTGTACACACTCACCAGCCTCCCCCCCATTACGCTGACATTTATATAGTTCTTAAAATTTTGCAAAGCATTTTATATATATAGTGGGGAAGAGGTGGTTCTGCAACCCCAGAGAAGTTGCAGTAACTGCAGAAAGTGAGGTATAAATAATAAAGGTAAAAAGGTGTTCGTGTGTTAAATTAAGTACAAAAAATTTATCTATATCCTGTTGTTCCTTTATCAAGTATGAAGAGGTTCCACTTATGGAATTCTCAAGGCAACTGGTCATTGGCTGACCAAAGATTGCCCATGTTCCTGAAGGTTTTTAAAATTACACCTATGAAGGACATAAAAGGAAGACACTGTCTGCACCCAGAGAAAGAACTGATCAATAGAAGTATGTATAGAATGATTTTACATATATATACATTTTTGTGTCTAATGGTAGCCATCTCTAGGGCTGTGGAGAGAGGAGGGAAGGAAAAAAAAGAAAAAAAATTTACATGATAATTTTATTATATATTTAAAGGAATAGCAAGTTGTGCATAATAGAATTGCAGTTTCGTGTGTAATCATCTTTTTTTATGTTATGTTATGTTATGTTATGGAAATGCTTGTTTTATTCCACAAATTGAAAAAAAAAAAGCTAAGCTTGCCAATCCTGAGGCAGAGTTGAAGCATTGTACAGATAGGTAGCAGCTTTATGTAGTGTGTGCGCCTCTATTAGCAGATAGCAGGTAGTGAGGAGGGGATTTTTAGTGTCCTACGATAGAGTTACTTGTTCAGTAGGAGAAACCACATCCAGTAGGGATCAGCAGACTGACAGACAGACAGATAGACACAGAGCCAGGGGCAATCAAGTAATTTCAAAGAGTATGACCTCTGGAAACACAGAAGGGAACCAAATATGGATTTAAGAGAGAACTAGCCCTGGGAGCTTGTGACTTATAGTTTGGGGAATTTAGACCTATAGAGTAATGCTTGATCCTGGAAATATTTGCCCCTTAGGGACTCAATCTGCTAACTTGTAAGTGACAAGTTAAAAGAATTATATCCTATATATACATTGTTTCATTGGAGTGTCACAACATCCTTGTGAGTTAGGTATTATAGGTATCCTAATTCCCATTTTACTGATAAAGAAACTGAGACTCAGAGAGGTTAAGCTCTTGCTTACATGATGTACTGAGTCATTATCAAAGATAAAATTTAAATCCAGTTCTCCTGGCTCCAAGTTTAACATATGCGATTCATTAAATCATCTTGTCTCTCAATAATAATTCCCTGAATAAATGCATGAAGTATTTTTTTTTTAATTTTCCTTCTCATTAGAACACTGGGTTTAAGCGTTATCAGTAGTAGGAGGTACAACTACAAAGTAATTTGATGAGATTAAAAATACAACAACACCTTAAGGTGCATCCAAAAGACTGCTGTGCCTTTTGAAGCAGTTACTTTGGAAGGTTATACTCAAGTAGTATAGGGCGCTCTAGGAGAATTACTTGCTGTGATAGAAACTCAGATCTGAGCTCTTAAGAGATTTTTTTGGCAGAAGGGAACAAATGTTTGGCAAAAGAGCTCTGCAAGTAAATTTCTCACACAACAAGTAAGATAAGGGAATTGTCTTCAACATATGATTCGAAATTCCAGTGTAGATTTTTAGTTTCTACTCTAAATGTTAGAACATGGTTTCCATGACTATTGGTATAAATTATTTTCAGATAACAAGATTGATTGTGTTCAGAAAACTGAAAGACATTTGGTCATTGTGTCATAGGGAAATATGAAAATATTTCTAATAATTCACCCAAATAATAAGTAAACTCATAAATCTGAAATTTATTATATTAGAAATAACACACTCTCATTTTTAATTAAATTGTTATTATAATAATATCAATATCAATACAAACTTTCTTTGCATCTCTTTGTATTTAAGTAAATGAATTTTAACTCATAAAATGTCATAACTTTTCACTCTCATTAATTCTCCATCAGATTTCTAAATTTGTCTATCCTAATGGGAAACCATTAATATTTTTATACAGTGTGTCCCAAAAGTCTTCGTGTCCTTGTAAGCTATTAAAGTGATTAGAGCTTGAAACTGCAGGAAGACTTTTGGGACACCCTGTACAGCTGTAGTTAGGGTGCACTCTGTTCTTGGTGGTGGTGGGGGAACAGAATACACCCCTAGTGGAAGGATTAATTGAAGGGACTAAGGGAGTTTAGCCTGAAGACAAGAAATCTGGGGGTGGGATAGTGGTAGTGAAAAAGGATTTAGCTTTGACCTGCTGAACCCTGTAGGGTGAATAACTAGGACCAAGGAGAGGATACCTATAAGCAGGCAGACTTCACAGCTCAATATAAGGAAAAATTCCCCAGCAATGAAAATTGTTCAAAAGTGGAATAGGCTATTGGTTTCAATCAACAAGTATTTGTTGTCTTTACTTAAAGTGAACTAAGTATTTACTGAGGGCAGTTAGGTGGCACAGTAGATAAAGTGCTGGACCTGGAGTCAGGAAGGCTGATCTTCTTGA